CGGGCCAGGGCCGGCTAATCGAGCCGCGCCCGGGCACGGTTCGGAGCACTCACACTAGTCAAACGAACCGCGCTTTGGTGGTCAAACGCACTCGGGCACGGTTCAAACTGGCTAGTGTGAGTACACCCTTAAACGAACAGCTCGCGGGACGATTCGGGTGCTAAGCGTCTTCAGGGCTTTCATCCACTCGCGAGGCAGAGGCGCTGGCGCCCTCCTAGCAACGGCGATTCGGGTTCGCGCTTAAAAACGTCACTGCGTCCGCGGGAGATGGCTTTAAAAAACGCAGACACCAAAATCAAGAAATAAATAACTATGGCTAACATTACAAGAAACATCAAGGCTCAAAATTAACATCAATGCTCAAAATCAAAGCCATTTTGGTCGCATATATGCTCCTGAAATATAATCTGTGTGACCTAAAAATATATTTGGGTGCTGACTACTACGCGAAATTTAAAAGGCTGATTTGACGTTTACTTGACTGACAGGACAGCTGTTTCGGTGGTTGCCTAGCAACATAAAAAACGCAGCGCACTGCTCGTTCTGTGTTATCGAACCTGAACAACGCGTGTGATCGGCTCCATAAGAAGATGAAACGAACGTGTTAGCTGTCTCAGTGTGTGTGTGTATGCCAGTTCACCGTAGTTGCGTATGGACCATGTATGGCACTAAATACATTTTTAGTGAGGGGGGGGGGGGGGCCTCACACAAAGAGCAGCCTAGGGGCCCCTGACAACCTTAATCCGCCCCTGCATGTAGGCCTATACTTTTTTTTCATTTCTGCTGTCTAATTTGAAATGTTCTCCTCTCCAGCTATTTTTCTCTGTTTGCCTTTGCTCTCTTTCTGTCCACCTGTCCCTTTCCCCCCTCTACATGCTGTCTCTATTTCTCAAACTCGACTTTTTCACGGAGTTGCGCGAGAGTCCCGGGAGAGCCGGGCTGTTGACGGTTTTGGAGGTGAAGACCCCTCCTCTTTGTGGACTCATCATGGGACAGACCGGGTGAAGGAGGGTCAAAGGCACACATGTACACACGCAAACACAAACGCACACAGTTGCTCTTTTCAAATTAGTTTGAAGGGGACATAATTTGAGAAGGAAAGGGTCGTTGTTCCTTTGTTATCTTTGTCCGGTCCAGACTGCAGCTTGTTCTAGCCTAGAAACAAGAAGACACCGTCTGACGGACATGTAAAGTCAGCAACTACACTTTGTTTTGTTTTTACATGGGTGGTTTTATCTGATGCAACTGATATTAGAAAAATAGATTTGGAAGGCACTGCGAGCATTGCGAAACACCAATAAAAAACTGGTTACTGAAAACTTTTTTCTCTCTCTCAAAAAGTATAGTTAAAATAGTTAAGCAATATCACACGAACATGAGTGCTGTAGTTTAATATCTCATATTCAGACAGCAAGACACTGATTTTACACAAAAGTTCAATTAACCAGAAGTTAAGTAACTCACAGTTTAATGGCAATTAGGCTAGTTCCAAACGAAGTCATTTAATGTTGTATCTTCGCCTGCATCCGAAATCACATTCTCTCTTGAGTACTTATTTTGAAGAAGTAATTACGCCACGACCGCTAAACAAGTTAGTTAGTATGAATGTGTGTACAGTATGAATGTAATCTGGACATATAAATTCTCCATGTTGTCATTATCATTTGACCTACCAGCGTCAGTTACATCACTAAAGTGTAAAAAGTGTCCATCCTATGCACACTTCAAAATCTTCCTGGGAGTATAGGTTATCCAAGGTACAATTAGCTTGAGTGCTGTGAATTCGGACTTCCTTTGTCACATACTGTTTTTTCGCCCGCTATTTAGTTGTAAAGTATGCGATTTTGGATGCAGCCTCCGAGCAGCACACATAGCCAGCACACATAGGCATTCTTGAATGAATCAGTGTTTTGAATTTATTAATGATTCACTCAAAAAAGTGGCTGCATCTGAAATCGCGAACTATATAGTAGATGCAAACCAGTATGACTATTCGAATTCACAGTACTCATAAAAGAGTAGGCAAAAAGTACCCGGGTGACTTACTTCTTTCGGCGAGATTCTGAAGTGTGCATACGATGGGCTCTTTACTATCCCATGAGGCCACGGGAGAGGATTTGTGAATGGCAGTGAAGCGACGTAACTGATGCTGGTAGGTCACATGATAATGACAACATGGCAAATATAGTACGTCCAGATTATATTCATACACACATTCATACTAACTAAACTACTTATTTAGTGGCCTAGAAGTAATTACTTATTCAAAATAAGTACCTACTCAAGACAGTATGCAATTTGGGACTCAGCCTCTGAGCAGGCAGCACGCATATGGCATTCTTGAATGAATCAATGATTCACTCATAAAGAAAGTCACTTGTTAATGAATGAGTGTTTTTGAATGTTTCAGATGATTCACTCAATGATTCAGTGACCGATTCAATTAAATCATTCCTTTCAGGATTGGTTGAATGGATTTAAAGGGGAAAAAAAGGAAATTTAATGGATTTAATGGGAAAAAATTGTTTTAAAAATCACTGGAAAAAATCCCCATCACCATACAGTATTACACATACCATACAAGTGGTATTAACCAGTATTATTAGTATATTTGCAGTATTTTTTTTAAATAAATTTTGTTTGCTTTCCATTAATAATCTGTACAGTTTTAATAATTACATCACGTCAACTTCTTTTTTGAAAGAAGTGTTTAGTTCACTGGCTTTTAACAAATCAGATATAAAAGCTTTGTGGTTGTTTAACTAAGCCACATTATGACCATAATAATATCTGATAGATGACAATATTTACATCAGCCTAAAAATACACACTGACAGCAGTGGTAATGTTCAGAGAGACTAAGGAACATAATTATCACCAATTTAATGAGTTTGTTCCAAAAAAAAAGCACCCTGGTTTACAAGTCCAAGATAATTTAATATGCCAGTCCAGTAACATTGTTGTAAGAAGCCATCTAAAACAATTTATTGGCTGTTCTTCAACCATAACTCAGTAGTGCCAAGCATGTTTTATGGATAATCAATCATGCTGTGAACAGCAACAGCCCTGGATTCCTAGAATTCAGCTCACTCGAACCAGGCCAGACACAAGAGAACCAAGACAACTATAGGAAAACTAAATCGGAGGAAAATGAAATGAACACTTGGTGCATAAACACCCAAAGTTTTAACATATCTTATCTCAGAGAAAACTAGCTATTTAAAGTGTAATTTAATCTATAACAAAGAGTGCTACACATACTGTAAGCTTGAAATGATTTTTTGCCATCGTCATATGTCATAGACTATCCTGTAACCTCTTAATCTGGTTTTCGTTGCCTAGAAAAAGCTGTATATGAGATGAGTTTTGCATCCTTATGTATTATCTATAAATGTCAAACAGGAGACCATTACCATTGTGCTAGTGGCATAAAATTAACCATGTTTACCCAATAGAATAGATTAAGCGGAATGGGATATTTATGACATGGGAAAACCTCTTTCATGTATTGTTCACATTCATGCATGCTTTAAAACAGGCATTCTTCAGGCATACAGGCTCAATAAAAAAATAAAAATAAAAAAAAGAGTCTCAAAACCTTTTTTTCCATTTCCGATCAATGCAAAAACACGAAAAGGTCTAGAGACAAGCTTTTAAAAGCTGATCTTTTAACTTGAGCCCTGAATGCTGTATCATGTGCGAGACGTTACAAAAGATTTAAAACATGTCCGTCTGGTGGATTTCTACATCGAAAAACAATGGACAAGAAGCAAAAACATGTTCTGTGAGAACAGCCAACATGGCAGTTTGTAATTATAATTGAATCATAAATTTAATTGGTGGCTAATTCCTATGAATTTGCACAATCTTATTCATACGTTTATCCAACGCATTCTCATCCTTTGGCGTCAGATAGGTGATGCCATATGACATTTCGTCGAAATCTTACACACATGGCATCCTTTAGCGTCAATATAACACGCACTGTTATGGGTAGGTTTAGGTCTGGGGTCGGGTTACGGTTATGACGCCTTGGGTTCTGCGTCTCACATTGATGCTAAAGGATGCCATGTGCGTAAGTTTTCAACGAAATGTACAAAGCGTCACATGTATGACGCCAAAGGATGAGAACGGGCTGGTTTATCCATATCTGCTTACATATCACTGACAGTTGGGTGAACCTATGCTTGTTTTTTTCTTAAAACTCATACATTTCTGTACGAATCACATATACATTCAAGATCACCACCTTGCAAAATAGACACGTTTTCTCACGAGATCGGGTTGGGACGCCCCCTAACACACCACTGATGTTGTTCTGTCCAGCGTTGTTGATAAAATGTAATCACCTCCATACTTGCATTGCAAATGCCTCGCCTTCATTGTCTTGACTCGTCTTTAGGGACTCATTTGTATCTTCTAAGTCAGCACTTGTACAGTAGCAGCCCAGCTTTGTATTCATTTATCGGCAACAGGATTAGAAGTTCAATGTATTTACAGCTGCTTCTTGCTGTTCGAGGCACTGTATTTGCATTCTCAGCTACCTGTCCTGGTGGTATTGTTGTGACTTGTGCACCTTATTAAGTCGCTTCGATGGGAAAGCATAGTAAAAATGTAAATTAAGTAAACTCTTGTCCAAACCCTGGTGAGGGCTGGACTTTTGTTTGTCTAGCAGCAGGAATGGGGACCATAGGGGGGGGAAAAAGTGGTCACGTAATGATGCCATTTCTTTGATAACGGTGTGTAGCGGAGAGGCTAATTATTTCACCTGTGTGTGTGCAGTAACTGGCATTTAGTGTGTCGTTGGCTCAGACACACACATCATTGATTTAACCTCAAGTCCAGATCTTCTGTTCAGCCTCATTAGAGCTCTGCTGCACCAGCTCGGTTCAGTGTGTGTGTGTGTGTGTGTGTGTGTGCGCAAGTCCCTTCCACTGTCTGTTGCACCCACACAACCACTGGATTTCAGCCTTCTCTCCTGTCTCTCTCTCTCTCTCTCTCTCTCTCCCTGTCCTCTTTTGGCCCATGTCCAGTCTTGCTCTGCTCAGCATTCCCATTGTCCGGTGGTCCTACCGCTCTGCGTCCTCACGCTAGAGACTCGGGTAATCCAGCCGTATAATGTCCCGTTATTTAATTAAACCTCCTCACCGCTGGCTCTTATCTGCCTGTTCTGCTCCCCGACCTGCTACGGCTGCCGACGGGCTCCGAAAAAACCCACATTACTCTAATCACCACACATTCTGCAGCCACGGTGAGCTCAGATCTCTGCCTGAGTGGAGCTGTCTGTCTCTTCTCGGGGTGGGTTCGCTGTCTCGCAGATTGAGACCTGCAGGCGGAAGGCAGACAGGGCAGGGTTTTATTCATCTCTTCATTACATTCAGAACGTGTCCTGTTTCAACAGTCATGCTTCTTTAGCTTAACTCTCTGGGGTCGGCGGTCTCGCCGGCGATACCAGCTCACTTTTTTCCTTATCAGTGCAAAAGAGACTCAAATTACTCTGTTAATTTTGATCTTACATATAAGTGTTGTACATCATTAGATCCTGTTAAGTTTCTATTTTTTTTGTGGATACTCACAATAAAAACAAAGTGTTGTGCTTTTCACCAAATAAAGAAAAACAAACATGATGCGAGTTTTGCGTTCTCTCTGTCAGTGAAGTCCATTCTGAAACGCGTCCTAAGATTAACTGTAACTCCGCGATTACTTGTCACACAGGCACGAGAGGTTTTTCTTTATGAAGCTTGAATTCTCTTCTTTTAAATGAAGTAATTTATATAAAAAACAAATATTCTCAGTTTATGCAATCTGTATGAAAAGAGAGTGCTGTCAGTATTTTTTCCCCCAGCTCATTACACTTCATTACGCGTTAATCTGACACGCCCACGGACGACGCGCGCTATTCAAACGCAAATGTCGAGGCAAGCCATGACAACGCCCACATCAGCTGTTCCACCGCGGCGGTAAAATGTGTGGTGTATTTGCTGCCTTTTACCGCTAAGAGGCGCTACAATCATAGACTCTGAAAAGTGTTCGTTTATTCCGGTTTATTCTCTCTAATGCGTAATCTGCTGCCGCACCGCGCTGATTCAGAGCGATTGAAAGCTGGTAGCAGAAGAATTCAACAAGTGAAACGTAGTTAAAATAATTCATAATCACAATACTGAAATTAGGCTACTGAAATGTAATTGAATAAATAATGAAAACATTTCAACATAAAACATTGCAATAAAAACATTTAGGCTACATGAACGAGGCTTTACAACTTTAACAGCGTACAGACGATAGCTCAGTGATCAACGCAACGACACGAGCTTCGAGGAGCTTCAACAGACCCGAGATCGAATCTCAATGTAGCATAGATGTTGTTAACCGATGTTGTCCTACGTTTATATTTTCCCACCTTGATGCTTAAATAGGTAACTGTTTATATCTGTTTACTTATTTAAAGTCAAGAGTTTTGTTTGATTATCATTACAACATAAATTTGCTACATTCCTGTAGAACCGCAGCCGCTGCACAAACGACAAAAACTGATGAAGATTGTCAGCCGATCAGAAAATGAAAATGAAGAAGCTCGTCTTTAGTCTGCTAAATTATTGTGTAATGTAAAAGAACACTAAAATTACTTAAGTTTGAAACCAAGTTCGAACATTTCAAGGTTTAAATTGTTTAATTTAAAACAGGGTTGCATCTTGTTTAGAGTTTATTTCTTTTGCGATGCAAAATAAGAAACACTAGGCTAATCTTATTCTTGCGACATTTTAAATTTGTATTGCCAAAGAAATTACAGCTAAATTAAACAATTAAAACAGTAGGCCTACAAAACGAAAATTGTCCAAAGAAACATAATTAAATTAAAAACATGCGTTTCTCTTTGCCTCTCTCGCGCTGGATCTCTTTTTAACAAGTTTATTTAGTCTCCCTCGCTGCGCGCGCGGGTCTCTCTCTCGAAATTAATCATTTCAGGGTAAAAACACATCATACAGCTGATAATACTGTATATGTCGCTGCGTGTCAGCCATACAAATCACGAAAAAATTATTTAACCTTTAATTGTTGCTTCAAAGACACAGCATGCCTTGTTGAATTCACCTTACAATAACTTCAATTGAAATTTTGTGTGAAAAAAAAACTTTAAATAGGCTACAATAAATAAACTACAATATTTATAATTTAATAAGATATGGGGCCTACATTTGGACACAGATTTATCCTTACAATAATTTTGCCTGCTCATCAGGCTGGCTATCCGACACTCTCCATATGAAAGAGGAACATTAACACCTTTGTCCAGCAACTGTCCCTCCAACCCCCCACAGGCTATCGGAGTCTGAGGCTGACTTAACACAAAGAGAAGTCGCAATTCACACTTAAATCGCCATTCTAGACAGTGTTGATAATGAAGGAATTAAATGATTTAAGTTACATGTAGCCTAGTGATATTTCTGTCATAAAAGTTTATTACTAAATATTTCATTATTTCAATAATTGATGAAATAAAACTGGTTTGGGGCAGCTTTTTCCAAGCAAAACTAAATATAATCTGAAAAAACGCTTGTGAATTTGTTGTCACTTAATATTAAAGTCTACAGGGATCTTTGGATCCTTACAACCAGGCATGCAATTTGTGAATTAAGTTTTTATTTTATTTTGTATTATTCAAATAAATATCGAAACACGGTGCTTCGTGGTAATGCTGCTAAATTAAATAACATTTATAGAATAATTATGAACTTAAATGAAACAATATCGCAACATTTCGACAAATACATTATTATGTTTTTACATTTTAATTCAGGGCGATTTAGCCTACATTTAATTAGAGCGAGATTTTCACCCATGTCTTGTCATTTTCTCATTGGGAAGCGCATGTTTGAGTAGATCCTCTGTACCTCTCGTTTTCATATGGATTAGCCTACATAATCAGATAACATTTATTAGCCTAAATATTTAGACATTTAAAGGCTTTAGACATAGCCGATTTCTTATCGTGACTGAGCTGAAGTGGCTTTCGGTTCATTTTTGTGACGCGCAGTTCCCGGAGACAGAGAGGACAGATATACTGTTTTTGTCGTTAGCCTAATATGAATACAAGTTTACAGTTTTGAACGATGTAAGCTACTCTACTCTTATCTGTATGACCAAAAAATTACGGAGTCGCCTATTAAGTTATTTTAGCTGTAATAATGAGATAAATAAATTAATCTAAATGAACGCGCCGCCGCGTTTGTCGAACACTAACTCACGATGCCAGAATAAAACCCGACTTTAGAAAAATGCATAGGGTCACTCGGCGTGGTGTGCCAAAACACTTAATTATAAACTTCAATATTTCATTCAAAATAATCTCAACACGCTTTGTGAAATTTTGAAAAGCCGTGCATGCATTAAGGCCACTGGAACTAATGAACAACTGAAACGCTGGTTTTGATTTTATTGTTTTTCGTTTAAACGTGCCTGTTGCATATCTCTATTTTATATATTTGATATTGGTGAAGTAGCCTATAGCATTGATTAGCTGTGGAGGGAGGGGTGTGGGGATTAAAATAATTCAGCAGAAGTAGGGATGTTTAGACCAGAAGGAAATCCCAGTCCCCCCTGGCAAATCACACTTTACTTAAAACCATGTTTTTAAAAACTCTAGGTTGTAGGGAACAGACCTCTCTGCCATGCGCGCGCACGGTTTGGAGCACAATATCTGTCTCGCATGCACGCTCGCTCTAAATAGATTACGGGATATTTTAACTAATTTACGGTATAACTAGTCGATCACGAGTGGCTCAACAGGTAGATCTATAGATAAACTATATCTTTCAGGAATTTGACCGACCGGGTTGACACTTCAGCGTGAGAAATCGGGGGGGTGGCGTGAGAGCCTGGAATAAATAAATAAAAAAATATATATAGCCTATATAAAACAAAACTGTATGGTGTAACAGAGTTTTAGAGCTAGACAAATCTCTCTGCAATAATAAATATAAAATATACAGCAGACCATGTTTGTGCGGGATATGAACCTGTGTCATCTTGATGATGAACCATCAGTTCTACCGCTCGGCTATGAATTTTGTTACTGAGAAATAACCAAACGTTTGATTCTCACATGAGCGAGAAAACGTTTTGTCTTTAGCCTGTGAGCAGGGGCGTAGCAGCCATTATAAAAGTGGGGGGGACAAAATGGTGTGGTGATGTGACCCAAAGGTCAGTCCTTCCAGAAAAATGCGGAGTTTTTTTGTGATTGTTGCGAGCAAAAATCCTTGATTATGCGGCAATGGAATATGCAGGATATTTGCAATTTTATGTGATGAAATTGCGGGAACTTGCAAAAACTGCGGTTTGATGAAAAAGAGAGAAAAAGTGATTCCCCAACACCCTGTTCTCACTAGGCTACTACCTTAATGTAAAGAGTCATTTCTTACTTCCTATGATAAGCAAACATACTACCCCAGCCGGCACACGACCGACCTTCAACGTTGAAATATGGTTGAAATAATATCAGTTGTTGTTTCAACGTTGAAACAACGTTGATATAACGTTTAATGCTAAATGGTTGAAAACCAACCGGTACATGACCAACCTTCAACGTTGAAATATGGTTGAAATAATGACAGTTGTTGTTTCAACGTTGAAACAACGTTGAAATAACGTTTAATGCTAAATGGTTGAAAAAGGTTAACAAAAACACTTATAAATCAACGTTGAAATTTTTACAAGATCTGTACGTTGAAACAACGTAATGTTTTCAACAACATACAACAGAAATATCTGCCTTTTAACGTATCATTATGATAATTAATTAGCATTTAATGATTTTTTTTATCATAACAGCTCTTCAGTGTATATGTTAAAATATAATTATTATCATTATTAACAATACTAGTTTCACTTTCAAGAGAGCAGTGCAGCAGAAACATTTTGCTTTATGTGAATTTGTGTGAATTTACAATTTTGTCTGCATTCCTAACATTACATTATGACATTTGTATTCATACACTGTCATGTCATTTGACCAATTAATTAAATAATAATACAGACTGCAAATAAAACTGTATTAAAACTTAATACACCGCAATGTTAACTCGCGCAAACTGTTATTGGATGTTTCGCATTTTTACTTTGAGCATGATTGGTTGATATGTCTGTCTTCCAGGAAACCGTCCAATGAGAATTTGCGTGGCTCTGCGCGCCTATTTTAAGTTTGAAAATACGTCCGTTACTCTCGGTCGGTAAACAGCTGCTGCTTGCGTTGATTACTCGGTCAGACCTGGATTATTTTATATCTGCCTGTTGAATTCTTACATTTTGAGCGAATTTGAGTTGATATGT